GAGAAAAATCATTGCATGCCTTTGATAAAAATTTACTGTAGAAAATGCCCTATGAAATATAAAAATGCGAATATCTGCCAAATCATTAAAAAAAGTGTAATTCTCTAAATAAATAAAAATATTTACTTTTTAATACCCCATTTACTAGAAAATAATATGCAGGGTGTTATTAAAGGGGGTTCGTTTAAAAAAAACGAAGAACAATGATTTTATATTTTAGAAAGTTTAGAGTAGAATTTTGAACATCCTGTATGATTTACGATTACCATATTTATAGCAAAGTTAAGTACAGACCACCTAAAGTAAATACCTAATATAGTTTTGATTTTGATGACCGGTTACAAGAACCCGTTTTTTAATATTTTTTTAAAAAGGATTTTTGAAAAATATACAGGGTGGCGCACCTCATTTGCCTCGGTTGATTATACGAAAACGTAAAGATGTAGAAACAAAATATTTTATGGGTATATGTGGGAAGGCAATGTGCATAATTTAAAATTATTTTGAAATGTACAGGGTGTGTCAGAACTAAAATCCATACCAAAGTTATATTTTTTCTTATGGAACACCCGGTATTTTATTTCATTTTTGGATTCTTGAGCATAAAATAAGGCATTTATTATAAGGGTTTAATATGTTTAAAAGCTTTGGTTTTTGAAATATTTAAAGATATTTAAATATGCATGCTATAATAAAAAAGTGTGTTAACACCTTGTATATTACTTTTCAGAATTAATTCTTCTGCTGACTTTCAAGCCAAGAGAATAAGATATAAGCATAAAAACTTCGTTATTTCAAATGCAACACTGTATTTTTTGTCGAAGCAGATTAATCAAAAATTATATTTAAAATAACAAAGATTTTTTTGTAAAATAAATATTTAAAATAGGCCAGCAATTTTTGATACCCCTGTATACATTTAAGGAAGCAATAAGATTTTTTAGTAAATTTTATATTTCTGGCTTCAAAGTCAGCACAAGAATTAACTCTGAAAAGTAATGTACAGGGTGTAGACAAACTTTTTTATTATAGCAAGCATATTTAAATATCTCAAAAACCAAAGCATTTAAACATATTAAACACTTATTAAGAAACTAGAAAAAATATAACTTTGGTATGGATCATAGTTCTGCCACACCCTGTACATTTGAAAATAATTTTAAATAATGCCACATTATCTCTCTACATATACCCATAAAAAATTTGTTTCTACATCTTTCCGTTTTCGTATAATCAACCGAGGCGAATGAGGTGCGCCATCCTGTATATTTTTATTTACCATTAATATCTCTGAAACTATCGAAATATATTTACTCATATATCAGGATTATGTAAAGTGAACTGAAAGGAAGCCACAAATGCAATAATATACAGGGTGCTCCTTTTATAAAAAAATCATCCCGATCCACTCACACTTGATTTTGATGTCTATAATAAAATCCAAAAAAAAATAAATAACAAAATCAAGGTAATTCTTTTTTTTTAGAAATATCTTCGGAAGGTCAGTTTTAGATTTCGAAACTATTAACTCGTTATTAGAATTCAGAAAGTTGCAAGATTTTCCTATAATTTAGTCATCTATTTATCTTCTCTTCATTTTTATATATGGCACACTGTAAATCAAATCTGTAATTAGATACAGATAAAGCAAGTGTTGCAAACTAACTGAACTGGTGAATAACTATAAATTGCTGATGAGATGAACCATTCGATGTAAAGAAAGGGAACTAAAATGTCGGAAGAGAATTTATAGTGAAAGTAAACCGTTGATCATAAAAAATCTATCTGTAACAAGCGTAAATATCTTTCACTTTAATTTAAAAATTCTATCAAAATGTTTGCACAATTCTTTTCTCTCTTTTTACTTCAAATTAGATCGTTCAGATTCTTAAAAAAATAATTTGTGGAAAATAAAGTATAGTCCTTAGTACATACTCCAAATTTTTTATTTGTTTTTAATTAAAGAAATATCTGTAATCATCTTAGAAAAGTATCTCTGAAACTTCAAATTTTACGATCCATTTGATACGTAACTTAGTGTTATAGTTGGATCATTAATTAGACCATATGTTTTATAAACCATATGGTCTATAAATATAATCTAATATATTATTTAATATATAGAACTAGGTAGCATTTAGTTCTATACCAATTCCGGTCCATTTTCTTTTCCATAGATGTAAGGTCTTGGCAATATAAGTTTTAAATAATGTTGGGGGTATACAGCAACCCTGTTGTGAAAAATCTTTTTACTTACTTTATTAGAAATGGTGTGGTTTTTGGCCAAAGTCTACCTACCTTCCAACTAAAATAGTCGATATTCCAGTATGAAACATCCCATTTAAAAATACCATTTAAAAATCCCATAAAAAAAGGTTTATGGTGGCATTTCCAGATATATATTTTTTTAAATAATCTACTGACTTTTAAAAAAACTGAAAGTGTCAAATTATCTACATTTCCTCCCTCTTCCATTTCCCTCATCCATTTCCCTCACCTATTTTCCTCACTCGGTTTTTCTTATTTCTCGCCTCATTTAATTAAGCAAAATATTCTTGTAATATCTTTATTAAATACTTACCTAACATTAAAAAAAAGTAAACAAGAATAACAACAGTAATTGAAGATTTTAATACATTTATTTGTTGAAGGTAAAAATGCTAGACTTCTTTGGCTTAAAACCTACAATCTGGCGTTTTAAAAAAGCGACGAGTTTGTGATATTTTGATATGTCAGTCAAATGTAATGTAAATCATGTTAACTTAATTCTAGCATCGTCCGTATCATGCTATACGTAGCCCAAAGAGTAGATGGTTTTTTTCTGCCTTGCCATGTCGCTAAAATATGCCATCAAGACTGCCTCCGAAGCAAAATTCTTAGCATTTCTTTCGGCACACCATTTTTCGTATACTGTCAATGCTATTTCATATCGCCCCCTACTTTTCTCTGGAAGTAAACTGGCTTCTGCTCTTTTTGCAGCTTCTGTAAGTTCTGGTGGAGTACAAATATTAAAGTAGTCTTCATTATCAGAACTTTCCGTCAACATTCTGGCTTTCTATGTTATATAAATTCGAAAAAGCGAACGAGAAATTCAAAACTGTCACTTAGTTGTTTGTTTTGCTGTTGAAAGTTTGCACCATAAAATAATAAATACAAGAAGAAGTGTCAAGTCAATGTTAAATTATGGAAACAGCGTGGCTGCCTGGGTAACTAATTTTCAGATATGGCGGCTGGGACATTTGACATGACATCGACATGACAATTTCAATTTTATGAAATTTATTTCCGTTTCCGGTTTTTAATGGCGGGCTGTTCAGGAGGGTTAATATACTTTTTACTCTTTCTAGTAGTTAATAATACAACAAAATTACTCAAAAATATTTATTTGGAATTTAGAACAATGTAAATATGCAAATCAGCACAATTAAAGAGCTATAAACACATAAACTACTGTATAAATATCAAAATATTTAAATAACATCAGAGATGCTGTGTTAAAGTGAATTAGTAAAGTAACAGTGCACTGACTTACAGAAACTTGAAGATAAATAAATGTTTTCACAGCTTCACGGGCGTAAAACTAACTGGAAGCAGGAAAAAGACAACAGGAACCCACGCAAAACCTGGAATCAAAAAAAATATGTAAAAAACATAAATATAGGTACATAAGGCTTTTGTGAATTAAATCAAACAGGACTTGAATGAAAATAAAATGAATAAAAAATATGATACATATACATCTAATACCTCATTCGTATTTTAAAAATAATCTACAAAAAAAATAATCTACATACATAGCATTATTGCTATGAAAATACATAATAGGTACCTATGTGATATGTAATTACGCATTTCTGTTCATCTTGTAGATAATCAATGTAGGCTAATAATAGTTCAATAATCATAATTTATCTTGTGTAACTTGCTTTCAATTGCTCCAAATCACCGATGTTTAAAGTAGAGATACGGAAAAATCCTTGGTAAAGAATATCCCAAGATCCTTAGATCTAAAGCTAAAAAAATATAAAAACAGTTAATATATTACCTATTTTTACATATAATATGGCCCATACCTCCTACACGCAGAAACGTCGATTTCATCATTTTCTTCATGTAATTAATACCATATATACTTTATTAAAGTGTTAACAAGGAACTTTATATCAAAAAACACCTTTGTACTTATAAATTTCAGCCGAAATATCATAAACAAACTTCCAATCAAATCTAAAACGGCAAAAATTAAAATGGCGCCCGACCTTGCCAGAGGCCTCGGGAGTTGACACATGGCTGACACACAGACAAAAGAAGAGGACGCCGACGTGCATAAAAATGTTCCGTAACAGAAATTGACGGAAATCATATAGAAATATTCAGATTTTTGTCTAGGACTGTCTAGAAGGCCATGCTTTCTGCCTGGGTAGGACCGCGCCACAACTGTTTCCAATTTTCCGGTTTACTGTCACCCCCCAGGTTTGCGCCATAACAACCACCGGTAACTATAGATATGGAAATGTCAAAACCGAAAACGACAAATTTTCGCATATTTATTTTTTTTCAAAATAAAATATTGTCCCAAATTTTTTAATTAATGATGTGGTTGTAAATAAAATAGTATACCAACCTCGGAGGAAATTTTTCATTATTGTCTTTAGATTTAGTTAATCTCTCGACAGTAATGAAACACTTCCCTCCTCGGTATGTAATATACTATTTCATGTTTTTTCTAACTTTCATTTTCTAATGCCATTTTAGAAGAAGCAAAAATTTTTATGTGAGGAATGCATTTTTCTCAAAATCTCAATAATTAAAAAGTTTTTCCTCTCGTAAAGACAATCCGGGGACATACTGTATTATGGATTCTTTTCCCTGAGTGTGTTTTTAATTTTTAAAGAATTTTTAAAAAAATGTCGAAATCTGACAATAATTAAGGCAGTGACTCTAATTGGGTCAGTTACCATATACTCGTAAAATTATAATTAATACTGTTTTTGTTTCAGACAACGGTGATAGCAATTTGCTGCCTCAGCGCAGCAAAGGCTTTTCCAGGCATACTATTCTCCTCTTCCGGTTCATCCGGAAAAATCGAACTTGAAGGAGTACCAGATATAGAAAGTTACAACCACGTTTCCTATCCGCACTATGACCTCATCGACCTGGGCGAGTACTCCAAAGGCCACGTTCCTGGAGACGAGATCAAGATCACCAAAGACAGCAAAATAACCATTCCACAACCCTACCCAGTCAAAGTACCCATTCCACAACCCTATCCAGTTCACATAGAAAAACCATATCCCGTAGTGGAAACCAAGTTTGTCAAAGTTCCATATCCCGTTCCTCAAGTAATCGAAAAAAAGGTTCCATATCCAGTGGAGGTTCCGAAACCTTATCCAGTACAGGTCCATTCAGGAGACGGAGGTGGAGGTGATTCTGGTGGATTTGGTGGTTCTTTCCAAGACCATCATTCTTACGAGGGTAACGGTTATGGAGTGCAAGAAAGTGGAGCAGAGTTACCTTCCAACGAAGGTTACGAAGCGGGAATTGGAGGTGGATCTGGAAGTTTTTACGAAGCCAAGGCTTTGGAAGAGCAGACGTATTCTGGAGAAGCTGAAGGTGGGGCATGGCAACCTGTCAGTGGTGACTTGGAAGGAAAAGGGTACTAAATTCTTAGCCATATTCTTTATTAATTTTCTTTTTTAAGATTTCTGTAGGATATCCTCTTTAGTTCTCTATAGTTCTTCGATTTTATAAGACTGGTTGTAATTTTCTATTTTTATTTTTGTTGACTATTGTGTAAATACTGTTATATTTTTTAATAAATCTTTGAAACGAAAATGCAGTATTATTGGAATACAGGGTTATTATATATTACTATAAGCACACTATAAGAGTCATATTTGGCGCTTATATGAAGAATTACTTATGGTAACACAATCTAAAATTTTGGTTGCCTTTGTTAGCAAATATGATTTATCTGTATAAAATATTTGTGGCCCTTTGAACGTCCTATATGGCATATTAGGATTCTACATAACATAAACTCTGTTTTTTTTCTCAGGTAAGATTTCGACAGACTATGACAGAAAAAAAGCAGATGACTTCCATACCAATCCATTTATTTCAATAAAAAAAGATTCTAATATTTTTTAAGTTAACTGTGGATGGATTTATAAATAAATACGTCATGACGTCGTCTCTTGTTGTTTTTAACCGGTTTTATTGGTGTATTTCAAAAATGACATATCATATTTCAATATTATTGGTTTGACGCAACGATGAACGACAAATGGACGCGTATGCGTATGAACTCGACTTAAGATTTTTTAGAGTTGTCAACTCTTGCCAAATTATCTATACTAATATCACACACGTGTTATCTGTGCTAATATATAAAATCCTTATATATATATATATATATATATATATATATATATATATATATATATATATATATATATATATATATATATATATATATATATATATATATATATATATATATATATATAAGTGACTGACATACTGATTAATCACGATCCTGCTCAAACCACTCAACGTAAGAAGCTCAATTTTGGCACACAGGTTGATTCTAGGGTGTAGAGGTTCGATAAGAAGGGATTTTTCGAAATTCCAGTTCCAGGAGGGTGAAACCACCCCTCAAATATTACAATATTATTTATTTAATAAACGGTCAAGTTTCCGAAAAAACGCTTAAACACGTATATTTTATTTTGTTTTTTTACATATTTTAAGATTTTTTAAAAATGTATACAGGGTGTTTCGAAAAATCTGGTCATTGATTAATCACGATCAAAGATTAATCATGATTAAAGCGCTTGACGTAAAAAGCTGATTTTTGGAAAACAGATTGACTTTAGGGTGTAGAGGTTCGATAAGAAGGGATTTTTCGAAACTCGAATTCTAAGGGGGTGAAACTATCCCTCAAATATTAAAATATTTTTTATTTAAAAACCAGTGAGTTTTTCGGAAAAACTCTTAAACGCGTATATTTTATTTTGTTGTTTTACATATTTTAAGATTTTTTAAAAAATTATACAGGGTGTTTCATAAAATATGACCATTGAGTAATCACGATTCTGCTTAAACTGCTTGACGTTTAAAGCTGATTTTTGGCAAACGGATTTACTGTAGGGTGTAGAGGTTCGATAAGGAGGGGTTTCTCGAATCTCAAATTCCAAATTCCATAACACGGTGATGTTAAATTTAATAAGTATATCTGATATTAATTAAACCTTTAGTTACGCAATCGAGGGCGCGATTTTTTAAATTCATTGTTGCCAACTATGGACATATTCGGCGCCGAGCTGACTAAATGTTATTTAAATTTCGCGCTGGGGATTCAGGTGGTAGCTCTGCTGTAAAAACTGCCAAGTTGCCGCATTTATTTATTTATTTCCTGACATTATCATTCGTTTTGATACTTTAGTTTTGTATTACGAATTTTTGGTTCAAATAAATATTGTTGTGATACTTTAAGCTGTAAATTGTTTACTAGCAGTCCTTGCAGTCTAACATTGTTCTTTTTAGAACCGCTTTTAGTGCGAAATGGACAAGATAGCTTAATAGCCGTAAAAAACTCATCGCAACTATATTAGAATATATTGAACGAGAAAGCGGAAGTTATGGACCTGTTAAGAAGGTGATTATTGTCGATGTAAATGATAACTGTTTATATATTTATAATTAATTAATAATAATTTTTGTTTCCTAAAATATTTTGATTAAAAGAAAATATGCTGTGCCGGTCAAGCTTAATAATAATAATAATAAAAAAAGGTTTATTGTTCCAAATCACATACAAAATACATAATATATAAATTATTTTAACAATTGGAACAAAAGGCACAGTCAGCTTCCTTCAAAGTCGAAGGTGCTGTTGAGGCCACGAAAAAAAAATATACAACAATATTACCAAACAAAAGGCAATAATAATATAATTTTGCACAAATCAATATCATACAAAACTAAAAAAAAAGACCGTACAAAAAGTATTATTACGACACAAAAAAGCAACAATCTTTAATAAACTTAGAACTTTCTACTTAAAATAGCACAAGAGGATTAAAAAAAAATTAAAAATTATATCAATTCATTCCGGGAGCAGTTGATTCTTAATTTTTCTTTTGAAAGACAGGACAGACCTCGAAAAATCAGTAATTGTGAACTTATTTATTGACGTAGCAATTTGGTAGGAAAATGACTTTTTAAAGAATTCTTTTTTATGAGCGGGTATGGTTAGAAGATGTTGTCTGCGGATATTTAGGTTATGCACATCTGTACGAAATTGTAATTTGTTGTAAAGATAAGGTGGGCATTTATGTTTCAGAATTTTATAGAAAAAACATACCGAGTGCAAAAGACGACGTTCGGACATGTTAAGCCAATTAAGTTCTCTAAGTTTATGTGACACTCTTTGTCTTCTTCTTATTCCGCAGATCAATCTTACGCAAGAGTTCTGGATTTTTTGTACTCTGTTGTTATCTTTTGAGTCGAGAAATGGACCATATACATTATCTAGATAATTAAAATGAGATAGAACAAGCGTGTCACATAAGATTGTTTTAGTTTTTTGTGATAAAAAGTGCCGCTGTGAATATATTAGTTTTAATTTTGAAAAAGCTCTGGCCAAGCAGAGGGTGATATGTCCGTTAAATTTTAGTTTATTATCCATGACTAGACCAAGGTTTTTGCAAGACTTCTGAAATAAGATAAGATTATCACCTAATCTAGGTCTAACATGCTCCATAATCATATCCCGGTAACTCTCCGCGCAGAACAATAGAGCAGTTGATTTACTTGGATTTAAATCAAGCATATGATCCGAGGATACTTTCAATATTCTATCCAAATCAGAGTTAAGTTTTCTATGTGCAGCATCAGCTTGATTCTGATTAAAAGATATATAGATTTGTGTGTCATCGGCATACAGGTGATACCCACTGTACTTAAGACTCCCTACAAAATTTGAGGTATATATACTAAATAAGAGAGGACCCAAAATGCTACCCTGTGGGACTCCAGATGAAACACTCAATATCTCTGAATAGTTATTCTCCCAAACAACTCGTTGACATCTATCTGTCAAAAATGATTTTATAAACGATGAAGCTTCTACTGTAAAACCTATGTATTTTAAAATAAGTATTAAAAGTATGTGGTTAAGCACATCAAAGGCTTTACTATAATCGAGAAGTACTAGTACGGTAGCATTATTCTTATCCTGGGCTCTCACCACATCATCAACAACATCAGTCAAAGCACTGCCACAGCTATAACCAGCTCTGAACCCCGATTGTTTAATGGGCAAGATACTAGTAACTGAAAGATAGGATCGAATTTGGGTTTCCATTACTTTTTCTAATATTTTCGACAAAGTTGGTAATATTGAAATTGAACGTAAATGGCTGAATTCTGTGGGGTTACTTTTTTTTGGTAATGGTGTCACATTAGCAAGTTTCCAAGACTTTGGGAAATAAGATCTCTGAATACAAGAATTAATTATATCAGTTATATAAGGCACTATATGAGGACAACAAAAAGATATCAAAGAGATATTTAGATCATCGGATCCAAAGGCTTTAGATCTAATAGCCAGAATAATATGAGATATTAAATCTTCTGACACAGTAGAAAAAGAAAAAGAATTTTGAGGAAGTAAACTGTTGTTATTATAATAGTCTAAGATATCCTTTTTAGGAATATTACATGTTTTTGTTGTTTGGGTAAAATATCCATTAATTTCATTGACATTTTGTAGGTTTTCTGGAATATTACTAGTTTTGTTAGACAGTATATTAAGTCGTCTTAGCTCATTCCATTGTTCCTTGGCTGTGGAGGTTTGAAACTTATAGTTAAGGTATGCTTTTTTCTCTGATCTAATTGCTGATGTTGTTAAATTCCTCATTTGCTTGTAATAATTCCAATGTTCAGGATTTTTTGTTCGACGATAACGATTTAATGCCTGGTTTTTAAGCGTTTTCATATATTTTACATTGTCTGTTATCCACGGACTATATGCATATCTTTTACACTTGATTAATTTCATAGGCGCGTGACAGTCAAAAAGTCTTAGAATGAGATCAGTCAGAAATGTAACTTTTTCGTCAATATCATCCATACCAAAAATTAAATCCCAGGGAGCACTCTCAAGATCCGATTGAAAATTAGTTAAATTCATATTTTTAAAATTTCTATATTTAATAGGTGTTTGACTAGGCTTCCTTTCTATATATTTTAATACTACGTAAACCAGAAAATGGTCCGAGACACTTATATCCTTCACACCAGAATCCTGGACATATTCAGTGTTACAACAAATCACATCAATAAGTGTAGAACTAGTACATGAAATTCTAGTAGGAACAGAAATAATTTGCTCAAGATTAAAAGTTTTGATTACATTTTGAAATTGTATGGTTTGCGAGCTGTCATTATCTATTAAATTAATATTTATATCACCAAAACATATTATTTCGCTGTTTTGTGTAAAAAAATCAATAAGCATATCCTCTAGGTATGATATAAATTCATTATTATTTGCATTAGGCGGCCGATATACAGTGCCTATAATGAGAGTTTTTGCGCCACATTCAAGTTTAACCCAAAGATGCTCAACAACATCCACAGACTCGCCACGTAAAATATCATAAATGAATTGGTTCTTAATATACAAGCCAACACCACCCCCCCGTGAATGCCTGTCCTGTCTTACAAAATTGTATCCCGGAACATCTATAATTTCATTGTTAATATTAGGCGTCAACCACGTCTCTGAAATTCCGATCACAGAATAATCA